TGTTCGAGTGGCCAACTAGCAATAGACTAGCGAAAATCCAACAACTTTTCGTCTCGATCCATGATTTTGATCTCTCCATGACTACTTCAATTAGGACTACAATACCTACTAGAATTTGAGTCACATTATGCCCTCGTTTGGCCCCCCATTCTTGCCAAATTCTAATAATAGGAATAGTATATTTTTTTAAATGTGTGGTTGAAAAAGAATGAAAAGTTTTTTATTTGGGTATAATATTGTTTTATGGAAGATTGTGTGATTGAAAATAAGAGAGAGAAAAATAATGAAAATGAAAATGGGGGCCAAACGGCGGTTATAAGAAATCTCCACCTTGACATAAATTCCTGTATAATGAACCAAACTCCAAAATCTCTCCATCTAGAAAAATAACTCCGACTACAACGAAATAGACCGAACTCTTTAACCAGAACTAAAGTTCTCCATCTCACGTAAAATTACTCTTCATTTTCCATAGTATCTACAAATGATACTCGAACCCAAATACTATGTTCCCAAAATTTCCACAAGGAATTCAAGATTTACTAAACAGGGTCGAAGCACACCCTGCAACAAAATTAGCTCCAAATGCTTTAGCTGAAGGCCTTTACTAGTCTTGACATCTTCAAAAAAAATATATATATATAAATATGCAACTAGATCGGCATCCCCGCACCTATCCTCAGTAGGTCTTTCCCTGGCAGTTGAACACAATAGCACCGCAGACAATGGTGGCAAAGTGGAATTACCCATATCTTCCAAACTCATCCGAGTTGTGTTCTTCAATAATGACCCAGAGCCAACTCCTAAAGGTACTATACCAAACTATATATCCATCACAGTACTAAGCATGTGCTGATGATTCTTCATCGATTCTAAGCGATCTTGCAGGATGTACAACTAGGACTTTTTCCACCCTTCTACAACCACACGGACACCTTTTCGGACCTTCAAGACTCCACCTCTTCTAGAGAACTCATAAACCTTAGAATCGGTGGTACTTAGTGAGATGAGATTCTTCTTCAATTCTAGAACATGTCGAACCTGGTCAAGTGTTCTAAGTGTTCCATCCAACAACTTCAATCTGACCCTGCCATCATCAGCTACCTGACAAGAACCTTTTTTACCCATGACAAAGACACCTTGCATTATCGTTTCATATTTTTCAAACAATTCCCGATTGGGATACATATGAAACGCACAAGCTACATCCAAAATCCACTCCTAGTCAGCGTTGAATTCCACATCAGAAATCGCCAAGATATCTCTTAACCCTTCACCAATCACCATAAACCACAAAAGCTTCTTCACCTCTGGACTCGGCTCCAATCGGATGCTTCATCTTCTGCTTAGAGAACAAGGCATCATACACGTCTTCAATGGTGAGTGTGCCAAGGGTGGAGTGGGCTCAGGCAGAACAGCGTAGTACCAATTCTAGACCTACTTCCGTCAGACTCCGAAATTTACCAACTACGGTGGCTTAGCCCTTAGTTACTTACTCTTTCCCTTGCCAACAACCTTAGGTCAATCAGTACCACGTTGTAAAAAATTGTATCCCTAAACGACGAAAACGAAGCAAGCAGTGAGCACAACAGGATCAAGGCCATGTCCTCTTCATCATATTTTACCTCTAATGTTTCCAAATCTACGACGATCTTCTTGAACAAGGCCAGATGGTGTTCCAAAGATTCTCCTTCCTTCATGCGATTAGAATATAACCTCTGCTTCAGATGCAACTTGCTTGTCAAACTTTTGATCATGCACAGTTGCTCCAACTTCAACCACAATACAGTAGTTATCTTCTCCTTCTAAATATCCTGAAAATATTGTTAGATAAATGAAGATGAATTTGCAAAAGTGCCTTCTGATCCTTCTGTTGCTTCTTCTCCGTTGTGTAAGTTAAGGGCAGTTTGTCAAATCCTAACAACACATCATCCAAGTCTATTTGCGCCAATACAACTTCCATCTTAACTTGTCATATCTAAAATCTTGACAAAAACCTCAAATAAAATCACAACCTTGGTCCGATATCACTTGTTGGGAACGAAAAGGCAAGTATGGTGCAATATAAAATATTGATTACACAAGCAAAAACAAGATTAAAGCAATAAGAGATTGGCAGAGTAACCAAATAATTTTATTAATTGACAACTAATGGATAGAAAAATACAATTTCAGCAATCTGAGCAATTCTTAAATTGAATGAAAAGTCTACTGTTTATAAAGGACATGACAAAACCTTAGAAGTAACCTAAAAGATAGAAATTAGGTCAACATACGCATGAAACCAACATAAAGCGAAAAAATCGAATGACGCTGTCGGTCGATCGCTGTCTAGCGGCAAGTGAGCGATAGCCCTGTCATTCAAGCGAGAGCTCGACGACAGCTTCCTAGTCCCTACTCCAAAAAGTTTTCCTACTGCTCGAGCAATCAATTAGCCAAAATTCGATGACTTTTCTGCTCGATCCATAATTCTGATATCTCCACGACCACTTCAACTAGGACATCAATACCTACTAAAATTTGGGTCACTTTACAACGTCAAGCAAGGCATAACAAAAGCAAAAGACAATCGAGAACAATTTTTCCGCACATCGTTTGCTTTTGGCAAAAAGACGAGAAATATTCTTATGGATAAATTAAATTACGAAGTCACCTCAAAATGAGGAATTTTGGACCCAGAATTTTGAGATATTCCAAAATCTATTATGTATGTTTTGGACTTTTGCTAATTGGCACCAAGTGGGTGCCGAAAATATGGACTCTTGATGGTGGTGGTAGGGAAATCTTTACTTTTGACTTCAAATTTGAATTTTTGATGGCCAATTTTGTGTTTATCTTTCTTTACTTGTATGGTCTAAAACAGGTTTTGCCTACCAGCACTAAAACGAAATAATTATTTACCATAAAGCTGATGTTTACATTTACACGTACGCTTCCAATGCATGACAACATAAACAAGCCGATATTCAAATAAATTGCATTTGCAAATGTGTAAAATCATATGTACAAGGAAGAAGAAAATACATGGAAGGTATATCGAGGTTCGCATAGAAGGTTCTTATATATCATAATAAACTGTCATCTATTGCACATATACAAAATGAAGGGTGGATGATAAATAGAAGTATTTTCAAAGAGTATCTTGTTAACGAGAATTATTTTCTCATGGGATAAAGGGTTGTTTCATATTCTTCAAAGCATGACATCAAGATAAAAGCGAAAGGATCTCAAGAAATTTTTATCAATCCTAGATAATAAAAAAAGTACGAGGATAAGGGCAACAATAAGGAAACATGGTATGTGTAGGGGGGTAGCGATGTCAATATATATGACAGGTATGTATGGTATCTGAGATCATGATAGAAGGAGAGCAAATAAATATAATATTCCCTTTGTTCCATAAATATATGTTTTCTCTCTTTTTTTATTTGTTCCAAATTATAGATTATTTTCTTTGTCCTAAATTAGATGCCTAGTTTCAAAATAAATAAATAAGTAATAAATAATAATAATAATAATAATACTAAATAAATAAATAAGTAATAAATAATAATAATAATAATACTAATAATTTTACTAAAAACTAAATGGAGTGGGTGTGGTGGCTTAATGTTGAAAGTTGTAACTCCTCACAGGCCATTGTCCCTTCTAGAAACCATAATTCTATTTTCTTGACTTTAAATTCTAAAGAAAACGGGCTGCACATTGAGTTGGATTCTTGCTGCCTTTAAGAAGGTCTACTACGTATCTTACCATCTTATCGACCAAAAAACATTGAATCAATTCTTATTCGAGCCGATGCATGATTAATGTATGATTGAAAATTTTCGATGAGACATTTAACTTGCTCTCGATTTATGAGCTATATATACACATATACACACATATTGAACAAAATAAAAAAATATATATTTACTTCTTTTTTATGTTGTCGTGAGCCTCTACAATCAAGCCTGACATGACTCGAGACAGACTTTGCTATCACTATGACATGGCTTGTCTACTCAAATTGCGTGCAGGCCATTTTTTTTATGTGCCGAGATTGGAACTATAGATATATTTAGACATTTTTAATTAGGAAATTTGTAGTAGGGGTTCAAAACCTTTCAAAAATGTGTTGTCAAATCCCAAACCTTCCAAACTTATCACCTATGTCCCAAACTTTTTAGTAAATGTACAACCAAAGGACCACATGACAATTTTTGTAGTCTGTTAATTGACTAATCCTTATTTTTACCAAATTTAATAATGGACAATTGGATGAAAACCATCCAACGATCTTTTAGCCCGACTTATTAAAAGATCTAGGACATAGGTGTGAAGATTAAAAAAAAATGGATCTCTTTTGCACATTATCCTTTTAAATTTTACGTATCAACTATCAAATATGGTATAAACGTTTGGAACAACTCAAAGAAGGCTCTAAAAATATTTGACTTTGATTGATGATGAATACCATTACGCGCTTTCAAGTGAAGTATGCAAGGAAGGAAAGTTGGATTTTTTCAAGCTTGTCACATCAGGTCCCCATTTTCTTTACCTGTAGTTCATACAATGTGTTTGTCTAGATGTCATGTCAACTTTAATTTTTTATAGATCATCTTTTTGTCCTTCATTTGTGACATTCTATTTGTTTTTAACGGGTGATATTATCATTTCTAAACCAATCCCTTCTTTAGGTTGGGCCATATGAATTATTTAAGCAATAATGCTCCACTTTTTTTTGGGAAATTAATAAACAAATTATAGTACTTACCTAATTCAACCTTCCCAACTAGCATTTATCTCAACCCATAGGAAAATGCGTCATACAATTGTCAATTTAACACTCGATTCACAAGTTGAGACTACAATATTATGGTACCCAGAAAAAGTTGTATTAGTTAAGTATTTTACTGCACTTGATTGTCTTTAAATTTATTTAATTATAAACACACTACACTGAACATTTTGATAAAAGCTCATCGTCTCGAAGAGCTAGCAAATGGATGCAAATACCGTTTAGGAGAACATTTAAGATATTTCTGTAGGCAACAGTTGAAGTACACTAAAAACAATGGACAAGATTCTAATTTTTGTTTTTTTCTAACATTAACTAGTTACAAAGATTCTAAATCATTCATGTAGGGTGATTTAGAATTTGTAATCAACTATACAAAATATGGAGATCCCATAATTTTTACGAGTTACAAGGCATGATTTGAGTCTTCATTCCACTTTGATCTGAGCAACTTAAGCAACATTCTTGCCTTTGTTTTAGTCCTCCCACTGCACTGGCTTTGAAGAAGTAACAGCAATTGAGTTAAAACTCCACTAGAAATTGCTTCCTCCCTAGCAGTTTTCGAATCAACGCATATAATTAGTAATGAATTTACAGCACTCGCACTTCCTTCATGATCTGATACTCTGAAAACCAACTTGACTAATGCATTTACACCAAAGGGGTGATTAATAATCACCTGTTTTGCGCACTCTACGGTTAAAAGATTCTCAATTACGGACACTGCCATCGGTGCTAAGCTTCTTTCGTGTCTTTTGGACCTTGAAATATGTATCACAAGTTCTTCGACTGCACCTTCTTTTACTAGCTTTTCGCGATTGGATTCTGTCAATGATAATGCTGATATGGCCTTGACCCCGGCTTCTGCAGCCTCGGAATTGTCACGAACAAGACGAATTATTTCTTGCAAAAGATTGACTGATGTTCCAAGTTTATTGCAAAGCTCTTTTGTCTCTAAACCTTTTGCAATTGCCTCCACCAAATGACACAAGCTTTTCTTGATAGCCATGTTGCCGTTTTCAAAGATAAAAACAAAGTAAGAAAATTTAGACTCCTCTTTGAGCATGTTTATGGCCCCCAAGTCACTAAACGGCAACAACTTAAGAGCACAAATAAGTGCTTTTTCTATAAACCTCAAATCTTCTTGAAAATGTAAACCTTCTGACTTTCTGAAAACCACTTCTAACAATAAACAAAAGTAATCTAATTGTATCAAACAAGAATTCTGCAGGGGTAGTTCATCTGCCAAAGAACAGATGATATCCAGTATTTCAAGTTTATTCTCCAATGTGGATTCATTCGACTCAAGATTGTGCTTGATCGCAGCAATCGAACTATCAGAGTTGATTATGTGAAGGTAAACCGGATCGATTTGAGTACCCGAATTGAGCCATTGATCGATCAAATGCCGAAGAGTGTTATTCGGTATTATAGAAGGATCATGGAGTTTCTGCATTGTGACTGGACATGTTAAGTTCCCAGCTGCTAGCCATTTTTCTATGCTGGACCGATCATAGGTTTGGCCTGTGCACAGAGTAACTGGGTCTCTAAACAAGTCTAGACTTATGGGGCATATAAACAAAGGAGGTATAATCATTTCGGCCGCTTCCATGAACAATCAAGAATTCATAAAAACAGCCAAAAAAAAAACAAAAAAACAAAAAAACAAAGAAACAAAAAAGTTCTACACTAGATCAGATTCTAGACCTTCTTTTTCCATGAGGTTGGATATAGCCGAAAGTAGAATGCTAACTCCCTTCTTGGTCTTCGACTCAACCCCGGATCATGTTGTCCTGGTGAGAGAGGTGGGGTGTTGAGGGTGACTTAGCTTGTAAATTTGCAGTACATATTGAATACAAACACATGGGTATACAAAAGCCAATGGGGAATTAGAGCAGAATACAAATAATATTACAAACACAAGAAATGAACAGACATTGGAGGGGTTATCCCCTTCTATTGGAGGTGGGGGAGATGGCAAAGGGATTTGCAGATAATAATTATAGAATAATTGCAAAATGGACCTACTTTTTCTTGGCCCATATCTTAATTACTAGATATGTGCCAGTCAAACTGAACCACTCTAGAAAACGAGATGTTATTGTCTATGAAAGTTTGAACAAACCAAATCATAATGACAGGTTTGAATGGGAAAATTGCAGTCATGGTACCAAACTTTTCGATTTTAATCGGACTTTCCTTAATCTTTTATTTTATTGCAGTCATAGTACAAAACCTTTCAAAAATTAGCACATGAAGTCAAAATGGATGATTTCTATTAATTTGACCGTTAGTTTGACTCAAGAAATTGATTTTGACCAATTTAAAAGGGGGAAAATAGTAACTTTGAATTAAAATAAATCAAAAATAAAAAAAACACCTGACCCCACCCAAAAAAATAAATAAAAAGAAGGTTCTATTCATCACTCCATCCCCCTCCCCCCGGGTACCCTACCCTACCCTACCCCACCCCAAATTCATCATCTCTTTTCAAGTCAATGTGATCTACTATGTAAATAATCGAGCTACCATTGGGAAGCCTTTCAGCTCTCACAAAGCAAGTAATGGGATGCCCACTTGGGCCGCCAGAGGATCACTTGGATAGAGGAACAACATTTTGGCCGTCATTGCAATTGAAGGAATCGTCCCAGTTGCTACTTTGGGGATCGAATTATGAGACAATTGAGCAGCAATTGGATCAATTAATTGTGTACCCACAGTCGTCTAAGTATGAATATGAGTTCCCGCATGTGAATTGTGGATTGAACAATGGGAATACCATTAATTGAATTGGATATGAGAGCCCCTATTCACACATGACTGAATGCGAAATTCCAAAAAAAATCCATTGATGTTTTGGTCATATTTTATTGAAATATCACCATCATATTGAGCGCTTGTGGTGTAGGAGTCGATCAATGGTGGTTCGAGAGGGTGGGTGGGGCCATAAGGGTTTTTGCCACTATAGATCACATTGTCTTAAAAAAATCTTTATGGGAAAAAAATGGTTTTTTGATTGGTTCAATAATGGTTTGTGATTTGGGATGATGAAATTTAGGAAAAGATGGAAAGTTTTGTGGTGGAGATAAGCGGTGCGATGGCGGCGACTATGGTGGTGGGTTAATTTGGGGTGGCATGTGAAGATATGAATGGTACTTTTTTTCCTTTTTTTGTGGGGCAGGGCATGTCATTTTTTATTTTTGGTTTGTTTTTGTTTTTTGTTTTAATCATTTTGCCCCCTTCAAAATTGGTTAAAATCAATTTTTTGAGTCAACCAACAACCAAACTAATAGTGATCATCCGTTTCGACTCTAAGTGTGAGTTTTTGAAATGTTTGGTACAGTGGGTGTAACAAAAAGAAGGTTTAGGCAAAGTTTGCTTAAAATCAAAAGGTGTAGTATCGTGGCTGCAAATTTCCCAGTTTGAATTGAAATCTTCTTGGCTAGATGGAGTTAGAGACAAGGACGAGGTACTACGTAAGATGAGGAATTATCGAGAAAGTACAAACAAATTTTCTTATCAATTAGATATGGAATAAATAACGATTTACGAGATTACTATTGAATTAAAGAATTAGAAATGCATAATAAAATTTATCAATTGTCGAGATAATTCTAATTAATTAAGCTACAATACGACAGTAGAGGATGTAAAGATATTACAATCAAGTCTCGACGAGAAAGGAATTTACATGAGCATCATGAATCCAAAATAATACCAAACTTAAAGTATAATCAACTAAATGGGTTCGAATATTTGCCTATATTCCCAATTTTGACTACATGTATTCTCTTAACTTTTGCAGGCATCCCCATTGAAATTTATTCAGAACAAAAATTTCGTTTAAAGTTGTGACAATGTAAGAATAAGATCTCATAATTTTGGCAGGCAACTATTTGATTCCCCTATGCATTAATTTATAGGGGCCATAAAGTAATTTCTACATTCGAATTTAAATAATTATTATGAGAATAAGAATTTTTTTTTCCTTTTTTATGTTGGAGAATAATAGGTTATTAAGTTGAATCAACTTCAAATCGAATTAGACCTCTATTGCTATAGAATATTTGACTATTCTACATATCTATTATTAATTTAGAGTTAGGTTAGTCTAACTCAATTTTTTTGTTATAAATTCTTGAAAAATAAATCTTACTATTTGTCTTGGTAGATAGGAAGAAATGACTCTTTCGACATGAAATTTTTAAAATTCACGTGAAGCATAATTTTTTTTGAATGGTAAAACTTTGCAAGTATTGTGGGGCCAACAACTTCCTTGATTGTCGTTCAAGCATCCATTACAAGTTTGAGAGAAGATTTTAGGGCCTGTTTGATAGACTCCATTTTCCATCTAAATAGTATGTTCGATGGGTAAAAATTTTCATTACATTGGTTTTCTACCCAATCCCATATGTGACCCCTTTTTCCAGGTTTTCAAGAAATTGGTTTTCCTTTGGTTTTGGTGTAAATAGGTTTTCAAGCCTTTTTTTTTTTTTTTTTTTTTTTTGGCAATTGGAACAAATCCTATTCCCAATTGTAATAAATTGTATCCCTTTAATTGACAATTTTCATGAAAAACAAAATCAAACAAACACCAAAAAATAGAAAATTTAAAAAATTTAATGGTAAAAAATTATACTAATCAAACACATTTAATTGATAATTCATAAAAAACAAATTCTAGTCAATCAATTTCTTGGAATTCGTTATCTTTCCACCGAAATTTTATTCTTACAATCAAATAGACCCTTAGTGAATTGTTGACTCAATAGTAGGCACTTCTAACGCTAATTATACTCCACTCTCTATTTGTAGTCATGGCCTTTAATTCTCGATGGCTTCGTTCAACCCCTTCAAAAATTAAAGACACCTAGAGTAAAAATTTGGGTGGAAGCATAGGTAATTCATCATATAATTATTTTAAATAATTAGTTTTCAAAATATTTGTTATTAGGGATTTTCTTTCCATCATTTGTTCTTCTCGAAGATCAGTAAAAGAAGAAAATTGGGACACTCAAATGATGAAAATATAAACTTGGAGGACTTGAATTGCAATTCTTGAAGTGGTTTCATTTGCTTAAACACACAATTTTAAACATGGAGGAGCGTCTCTTAATATTGTATCATTTGCTAAGATGCGCCATTAACACAAGAATTGGTTAAGTTAAAATGTCCAACACACTCTTCTCTCATATTCAACATTTCTTCATTTTGGTATTTACTGGAAAATACTTTATAGATTCACTTTCGTATGCAATGATAAATACAAAAATCCAGGTGAGGACGGCGTATTTGCTAGACGGTCGAAATTTTTCGATAGAGCCAACATAAGCCGCCGTAGGAATTTACCTGGTGCTAGCCCCGCCCTTAATCGTATGAATTGCTAATATTTTAGAAGAGAAATTTTATGGTTATTCCTTCATGCAATTTTAAAAATGTTCAACGGGAATGTAAGCATTTGTTGTTGTGTCTCGGTCAAATTTCCTATATTTTTATGGTTGGATGTGCTCTCTTTTGAGAAAACGAAAATAAAATTGAGAAAGAAACCGAGAAATTGTCAATCCCTTTAACCAATGTTTATTGCAATCGCTTTCACCAATTATTAAGTAGAACAAATGATGATATCAAGATATAACTTTCAATTTATTATTCTTAAATGAAATTACGGTAACAAATTATTATAATTAAATATATAATTCTTAGAACAACCAACTACTACTAGAAATAAATTATATGAATAATAATAATAGTAGAAACTACTAGAAATTAATAATTGCTACAAAAGGCTTGGTTTGAACCTACGAAAAGTCTTTTAACAAAGCGTTTGTTTGAAAAAACTTTAAAATTTGATGTTAAAGTCAACAATTTATTTTAACTAATATTTCACGAGATCCCATAATTTTTGTTAAGAGCCTGTTTAAACCACATTATTTTTTTAAGAATGTATTTTGAAATAATAGATTGATGAAGATTGTGTAGTTAAAAAATAAAGAAAAATTTTTAATTTACGTGTAATATTATTTTATTGAAAAATGTATGCTTAAAAAAAGAGTGAGAAAAATGTACTTTAAAAATAATGAAAATCAGCACAAGGTCTAAATTTACCATCATACATTGGCCTAGGCATTGTTCGGATTGGGTTGGTTTTGAATCCAACCCAAAATCGAAACCGACTTGGTCAGTTTGGGTAAATTCCAGCCTAATACAAATGTTGAAACTAAATCAAATCAAACTAAATCGGTTTGGTTTGGTTGGTCGGCTTGAAAATTAGTACAACTTAAAAAATTTTGCCTACCTATTTTAGATTAAAAAATTTGTTTGCCTATTTATATATTTTATTTATTTATTTTGCTTGACAAGGTTGATTTTTCTAAAATCATCCTATATATCCAATACTTACCAATAAACAATTTTGCTAAAATGAAAAGTAAAGCTACAATCTGAATTTGGAGTTTACAACAATCAAATTTTTACCCTACTTTTCTTTCCTTTTGGAATTTAGATTTTTGATAGAAGAAGTGTAGATGATAAACCCATTATTTGGGAAATAATTATATATGTGTTATTATTATTATTTGAGTTTAAAAATTATGATTTTTGAAATGAAAAAAAAGAAAAAAAAACGATTTTGGTCGATTAATTGATGGGTTGATTACTAAACTGCAACCTAAATGATCCAACTTTTTCATGGTTACAGTTACTCGAACCAAACCGAGTCGGTTTGAATTGATCGATTTGATTGGTTATTAAGAAAAAGAAAAAAAAACGATTTTGGTCGATTAATTGATGGGTTGATTACTAAACCGCAACCAAAATGATCCAACTTTTTCATGGTTACAGTTACCCAAACCAAACCGAGTCGGTTTGAATTGATCGATTTGATCGGTTTTTCAATTTTTTTTTATTTTTTTTTTTTTTCCCTATCCCGAAATTCACACATTCATAAATTTTTATCAAAGCTTTGACAAACAACTGTGAACTAGGTTTAAATGATGGGCTCTTTCTAGTAAGCCCAATTCACTTATTTGAGCGCCCTTTGTTAGGATTGTCTTGGACCAAGCTTAGATAAGAAGGCCCTAATTTATTAATGCACATTGTAGTAAACCAACAATGATTTGCAGTTTAAAGCCCTCGTATGAGCCTCATTTTTCTATCAAAATGTATTTTTCGAACAATAATTTGATCTTGTTTCAATCACGCATTCTTTACTAAAATAATATTACAAACAAACTCAATTTTTTTTTAATCACACATTATTCACCATAACACTATTTGCAAAAAGCATATTTTGAAAAAAAGGGGGTGGCGGGGGATTCAAACAAAAAATTTGACAAGAATTTAAGGCCTGTTGGGCCCACATTAAAATTATAATCTACTTTTCTTGCTCTTATAAACCACACATTTTCCAATACGTAAATTTAAAATTTTTCTTCTTTTTTAATATATATATATATATATATATATCTCAAATAATGGGGGTTAAACGAGAGCTGAACATGGTTTAATTTATAAATAGAAAAAGAATCGTGGATAAGTAGATATTATTTATACATTCATTTAAATGTATGGCTAAAAATAAAATGTAATCATTTATGCACAGTTTATTAATTTCCCAAAAATAAATTTTTGTATTAAATTTTTGTATTTTATCTACAAAAATTTATTTTTCTTACTTTCTAAAGAAAAACTTTAGTTTTATTTGTAAATATAAATTTCATGCAGTTATTC